AGACGGGCAATGCCCATGTGCTCACAGTATGTATGAGGAATGATACGGTTTCCACAAAAGGACAGCCTCAGGAGAAGAAACACCAGTGGAGCCACCATGCACAGGCTTCGCAGGATAGCAACTCCTGCAATAAGGCTGATGATTTTGCTGGTGAGGATCATGTTGTATCGAAGAGGTTTGCAAATGGCGATGTAGCGGTCAAAGGCCATGGCCAACAGCACAATGCTCTCCAGGGCAGTGAAGAAGTGAATGAAGAACATCTGGGAAAGGCAACTTTCAAAAGATATATCTATCAGACCAAACCAGAAGATGCCCAGCATTTTGGGGATGGTGGCCGTAGACAAGCCTAGGTCGATGGAATCCAACATGGCCAGGAAGTAGTACACGGGTTCATGGAGACTGTGCTCAGTCCAGATGACAAACAATATAGCAGAATTCCCCAGGAGTGCAACAAGATATACAAAGAAAAAGGGAAATCCAATCCAGACATGCACATCTTCTAGCCCCGGGATTCCCAGAAGCAGAAATGAAGAAGGATGGAACTGGGTGTCATTAGGAATGGACATTCTCCCTGCCTGTTTTGGTGATTGTGCATATTAGAGTTAGATATTGATTTCTCATTAGTGAATCTTGCTCCACTTCTATTTCCAAACTCTTATTAAAATGCAAGATAATAGTGTAATATTCTCTTTTTTCTAGTCATTGTTATCAACACTTTTCTGCCATCCTCTTCTGATCATCAGATGGCTCCAGAAGTCAATCCAGCCTTACTCTTTCTCAGATCATTTCATTCATAAAAGCTTGAACAAGAAGAGTGGAGGGAAAAAGACCCATATGTCAGGTGAATATTCAGGGTAATAAGTGAGAATAATAAAGGTCTTTGTTATTTGCATCTGGTGGTGGTACATGTACTGCATCTAATATACTTGAAGAATGATTTAGCATATGTAATCCAACCCATTCTCCTCTTGATGATAATATAAATATTTTAATGTCTCCATTAAAATACAGTCCTCGATTTCTCCCGTATACTTCTGAATATCTTACTTTGAAAACAGAGACCACGGATTTACTTTTGTTTAGTCATGTACCTAAAACTTCTTCACACATATAAATTCTCAGATAAAATGTTTGTCAAGTGAAAAAGTAAGAGAGGAAAAACATTATAATGAACAGCATGGTTCATATGAATAGTAACATAATTTCTATCTTAAATAGGTCTTCCAAGAGCTATCTTTTTCCAGAATGTTGTAGATCAAGAATAAAGA